TTGTTATGCTGTCAGGTTTATGATCAAGCAGAAATTTAAAATTTCCATTTTTCAGTTTCATGATGTAAAGTGTTAATAATAAATGTGTGTGATGTCACACTTTTATCTTTATTGCATGTATAAAATGACTATGTACCATGTTCAAAATACAGTCTAAAACTAACAACAGGTCAAAGGTCAGACGTCCCTACAGGATGATGTGTTAAATAAAACCTCAGGTGAGCGGCTGCTGAGAAATAAAACACACCGGCAGTTTGACACCATTTCAGATATTTAAAACACAAAACTAATCAATAATTATTGATATTGGCTGATTTGAAGCGTTTATAAGGTGATTTTAGCCAAATCGTCCCACCCTGGTTGGAGATTAAAACTGAACTATTTCAGGTTATTTTTCATGGTGGAAGCTTCCTTTATGTTTGTCGCTGCAGAGATGATTTATGTTGGCAGCGAGGTCGCCACCACAGTGTTTCCTGGACTCCAACATGGCGTCGTCACCAGACCGGCCCGAAGCTCCGTCTGCTCAAGCTTTAGTTAAACTCATTCAGCCCGCCGTCTCTGACGCCGTCGCCTCTCTACCCGCCAGGAACCGAATTCAGAGCAGCCCAGGAGCGGGACCTGAAGGAGGCCCTGAGCGGGATGGACCGGTCCATCCCGCTGGTGTTCGTCAGCGGGAACCACGACCTGGACCAGGTCCCGACTCCCAGCACGGTGGAGCAGTATTGCCGGGTCTGGGGCGACGACTACTTCAGCTTCTGGGTGAGCAGAACGAAAATAACAGCAAACAAAAACAAGATGGCCGATTATCACTGGAGAGGAGACACTGGTTATCATCTGAACCGTCTGGTAACCTTCTACTAGTTATTCATGTTTTTCCTTAATTTAATTAAAAAAACTACATTAGTTATTATGATTAAAATTATGAATCTACTATCATATAAGCGTCAGCGTGGGAGCAGCTGATTCATAAATAAAATAGGCTATGATGACATGAGACTTTATTGATCTAAATAGTTAAATCAGTTTCAAAGTTCACTGATTGGCTGTGAGGCCCAAAGGACAGCCGATAAAAATAAAGCGTCCTTCCTGGTTAAAGCCCAGTTCACACGACACGATTTTAGATTTGTTGGCTGATTTTCAAAACCAGAGAGACCACACATTAGCCGACGAAAAATCGTAGGTATAACCGGTTCGATCGGTTCGACTGGGTGCGATCGGTGTGATTGGGTTCGATCGGTGTGATTGGGTTCGATTGGTGTGATTGGGTTCGATCAGTTCGATCGGTGTGATTGGGTTCGATCGGTTCGATCGGTATGATTGGGTTCGATCGGTGCGATTGGGTTCGATCGGTGTGATTGGGTTCGATCGGTGTGATTGGGTTCGATCGGTGTGATTGGATTCGATCGGTGTGATTGGGTTCGATCGGTGTGATTGGGTTCGATCGGTGTGATTGGGTTCGATCGGTTCGATCGGTGTGATTGGGTTCGATCGGTGTGATTGGGTTCGATCGGTGTGATTGGGTTCGATCGGTGTGATTGGGTTCGAGCGGTTCGATCGGTATGATTGGGTTCGATCGGTCTGATTGGGTTCGATCGGTGTGATTGGGTTTGAT